ATCAAATGACCAAAAGATAATGTGTAAAACCATGAACCAAAAAGACAAGATCACGCGGGCAGGAGACTAGCCCGTTAGAATCGCATTAAGGAAAAAAGTTGAACCGATTTTGACATTAGCCGTTTATTTACATTTCTTCGTTGTTTACAATTTGGTGGTGGCTTTTTACTGCAATTTTCTTCATTTTCGCATGTGACAACGTGTGTACACATAAGATAAAGAATAATTTAACACTTTTTTTTTTTAGCGACTGAAGCGCATAATGTTTTAGGGCCCTTGTTAGCTATACGGTACGATATTGGTGTCATAAACAAAAACAAAACGGTGGCGTGTTAGTTGATATTCACTACTTTCGTTACATTCAATCTAAAGCAAATTTAGTAGTTACAGTTTTCGCTAACACGTGAAGAACGGGGCTTGTTCGAGGCACATAACAAAAGCTGTAATATGCAGAACTGATGCAAAGTTATATAGAAATCCACACCGAACGTGATATTCGAACAAGCCCGCAGCATTCTTGGTTTGTTGTGCACATTTTGTTTAAACACTCAACCTCATTGCGTATGTCGTAAATTACACTAAATTCCACGACTGGTGGCACTGCATACTGTTCTGCTGAAATAAGTAGAAGGCAAAAATTGTCGAAAGCTATCCGATGATACCAAGTTTTTCCGTTTTAATAAACTGGTCGAGCAATCATTTTATGCAATGCCATACAATTTTCAATAGGACTCCGCTCGAAAAACGACATGCACTCGACACGACACTCGCAATGAGGCTGAATATTTACGAATTACAAAATGTGTGTAAAATGCTATTTGTTTTTTTTTTTGTTTTGACCCATTGGAAGTTTTTTTAAGATATGTTTTACAATATTTTTATCCAAATTTTATTTTAAATTTATTATAAACCGTGAGAAAAACGTCACATTTGCATGTTTCTCAGCGTTGGAAAAAAATGCGAATTCCACATGTATACACAAAAAAAATCTTATTAGCTATGTAGTTTATTTTATATAACAATCCTATATTATCATTTAAAAATATATTTGACGAATTGTAATTAAATTGTGAAAGCAAAAAATCAGATGCTCAAAAAGTTGACAATTTTCCTTTTTGCTTCATAGCGATGCGATTTCGCCAACAACACCACTCTTGAAGAAAGCAAATAAAAAAAAAAAAATAAAATAAGCTAATGATTTTTTGTCTTCAACTTTTTGTGCCTGCTCTGGGTTTTAGGTTCATAATTTTTCGTCTTTCTTATTTAATTGATAATTAAATTTCATATTTTTAAAATTACAAAAAATTTTGTTGTAGCATTTGTTAAATGTGTTGATTGAAATCTTTATATATATATACTTACTTTATACATAAATAACATACATATTTGTGAAACAAAAAATAACAAAACGTATTAGTATATGAAATAACTTTGTAATACCGAATTTTCTGATGTTTCGCCTCACACCACAAACCTACCAAAAAATATACCAGTTATCAAAAACTGGAAACTGTTGTCACTGAAATCACAAACAATTAACTTGATACCGTTTGCTGCTCGCTTGAATTAATACTTACAACTTACACTAGCCGCTTTTGCGTTGAACAGTGAGCGTTTAATAACGGTGAAGACAATAGCTAATCAACTTAACGACAGGACGTTGAATAACTTGAAAACAGTACTGTCAAAGGAAAACGTTTTTTTTTTTTGAAAACTCGTCAACGTTATAATTTTGTTTACATCCTTTTGCCACTGAAAAGGAATTTCTGCTTAGTTAATTTTCAAACAATATCAATTTTAAGTTCAACAGTATTGATTGAATTTAGAGAGCCATTGGAATTTCCCAAATTATACGCAACAATCTGTAAATCGGGTTTGTAAATTAGATGTTTTAAAAATTCATCTATTGCATGCTATTCCTTCGCTAAACTTTTCTTCAGATGTTTTGGAACGCCGCTTCCGAAGTGCGTATAATTTTACAGATTTTGAAGGTGATTCTCATCATATCATAACAGTGTCATATTTGTCATAATTCACAACATTTTTAAACAGCTAAAAAGAATTGACACTATGNCAGATGTTTTGGAACGCCGCTTCCGAAGTGCGTATAATTTTACAGATTTTGAAGGTGATTCTCATCATATCATAACAGTGTCATATTGTCATAATTCACAACATTTTTAAACAGCTAAAAAGAATTGACACTATGACGTGACGTCATTACTTATTACACCTTGTGAATCCTTTAATAGTTTACGCATTACAAATTCACAGTGTTTGTGAAAGGGTTTTTTTAAGGCGAAACATACAATCAGTAAGA